AACAAAAAAAAAAAAAAAAAAAAAAAAAAAATCAAACCTTGGGGCCAGGCGCGGTGACTCACAACTATTATCCCAACACTTTGGGAGGCCAAGGCACGGAGATCACTTAATCACTTTTAAGGTCAGGAGTTCAAGACTAGCCTGGCCAATGTGGTGAAATCACATCTCTACTAAAACTACAAAAATTAGCCAGGCATGGAGGCGCACGCCTGCAGTCCCACCTACTCGGGAGGCTGAGGCATGAGAATCGCTTGAACCCAGGAGGCAGAGGTTGCAGTGAGCCAAGATTGTGCCACTGCACTCCAACCTGGGCAACAAGTGAAACTCTGTATCAAAAAATAAAAATTAAACCTTGGAGTGAACTCATCTGCGAACTGTGGCATTTGATATTATGACTTCAAGCTGGATCTTGTGTTCCAGAATGATAGTCGCATTATGAAGTATTTTCACTTGTCCTTTGCTCACAGTGCCATTTGTTTCTGAAGGTAACCCTGAAGAGGCGTGGCCCATCATTGCTAAGACAGGCTGACGTATTGGTAATTGCTGAGGGTAACTGCTGTTCTGACTGCTTTGTCCCTGCCTTTCTGTGACAGCCTGGCTGCCCCGTGGGCTCAGGCAGGCCCTTTTGTCTCTTCTCTGTGTCACAGAAACGCTATAAAATCTACAACAAGCAGGTAGCCAGCCATTGATCCTGACTACTATGCCCTCTAGAGCCACAGAAAGCAGATCCCTTGAAGAGTGCTGTTAAGGCCTCACGGGTCTTCCTCGTGCCCTCTTTCACTGGTCTTGCTTTTTCTACAGGACATTCAGAGGGCACCTGAAGCCCTCAGTCTCTGGGTCTCCAGACTGCTGAGTCGTCCTAATTCCCCAATATATTTTTTTTTTTTTAACAAATACTCATTTAGTCTGAAGTCTAGGTAATTGTGGCTCGCTGTAACCTCAAACTCCTGGGCTTGAACTCCTGGGCTCAAGTGACCCTCCTGCCTCAGCCTTCCAAGTAGCTAGGACTACAGGCATGCACCACCATGCCCAGCTAATTTTTATTTTTATTTTTTGTAGAGACAGGGTCCTCAATATGTTGCCCAAGCTGGTCTCAAACACTTGGCCTCAAGCAATCCTCCCGCTTTGGCCTCCAAAAGTGCTGGGATTACAGGCAAAAGCCACTGCGCCTGACCCAGCATTTTTTTACTAGAGTCACTTAGGAAGTTAGGTCCCTGCTCCTAGTTTACCAAAGTTACCTAAGAAACAGGTCACCAGTACGATTCCAGCTTCAAAGGCATTGGAGCCCCTTCTAGATAATGAAATTCCTGGAGCCTAGCCCAACATTCTAATCATGGGATATCATCCCCTACCACGAGTGCTGCTTAGCTGTTGCTCACTGCTATCTTAAGACCATCTACCAAAGTGCCTGCTAGCCCATGAAGTTAGCCCATTACCCAGATTTATTTTTTATTTTTATTTTTTTGAGACTGAGTCTCACTCTGTCACCCATATTGGAGTGCAGTGGTATGATCTTGGTTCACCACAGCCTCCGCCTCCCAGGTTCAAGCGATTCTCCTGCCTCAGCCTCCCAAGTAGCTGGGATTATAGGCGCACACCACCACACTTGGCTAATTTTTATATTTTTAGTAGAGACGGGGTTTCACTATGTTGGCCAGGCTGGTCTCAAACTCCTGACCTCAGGTGATCTGCCTGCCTCAACCTCCCAAAGTACTGGGATTATAGGCATGAGCTACTGCACCTGGCCCCTATTCCCCAGATTTAATTTAGACCTTAACCTATGGGTCAAAATGGAGTTGCCATAGAACAAATAACAATTTAGCCGAGGTAAGACTTGAGGAGTATGTTTTTGTGTGAGTTGGCTGGGAAGATCGCCTTAGGCTTATGGACCACATTCCAAGGCCCATTAGACCCTTAGTTCACTGAGGAAGAAGACATGGGGAGTCTATGCAAGCCCCCACTGCAGGGGACTTCACAGAGAGTGACTCTAGATGCCACTGTTATTGAAGCATGACAGGGATACACGTTGACAGACAAAGCCATCGCCTGTCCTTCCTTCACCTCCTATGCCATGTGCTTTCTCTTTTCCAGCTTACAATGCCCAGCCCGATGCCAGAGTACCTCAATGTGCACTACATCTGTGAGTCTGCGTCCCGTCTGCTGTTCCTCTCAATGCACTGGGCTCGGTCAATCCCAGCCTTTCAGGCACTTGGGTAAGTGGCCACTTTTCTCTGCATGTATCCTTGGACGAGGGCCTTCCTCTCCCTAGGAATGACCTGGAAGAACTCTGAGGGCCCTTCTTCTAGTTTGACTGTTCCTATAACCTCATTCAAAGGACTGCGAGTTTCTTTAAGTATAGTTAGTGGACTGGTAACAGGGTTACCAGTTGCCAGTTTTGCAGTGTTCCTTAAACCTTTACGGAGTCTCCTACGTACACCAAGGATTTGGTACTGGGAGCTGAGGATAGAGAAGAATGTAGAAGGCAAGGGTAGTCCTTCGCACTGTGCTATGGCACAGTGTGACTCTCAAACTGAAGCCAGGTCGGGAACTGTGCCTAGCTTTCATAAAGTGAATGTGAATCAGCTGTTTCCTCAAACACTGATTTACATTCTCTCACAAGCCACAGTGCCAACCGTCACATTGAGTAGTACAGACCCTGGTGTCATCTCTGCAGGAAGCCCCCCTTTTCTTGCTTTCTTGAGCACTACTTTTGTTTATTTCTCCTCTAAATCCCAACATTGGCTCTGCCAGTGTGCCAAGTGCTGTGTAGCTCGTGTAACTGCCATCGTGTCATCAGGTGGCTGGCAGTCTGGTTGAAAGATAAGTAACCATATAAAAATGGAAATACTGTGAGAGTTAATGCATATTGCAGAGTAACCATCCTTAGGTAATATGTGGAAAACACTAGAATGGAGGGCAGGGTTGTCTAGTAGGTTATACTGTTGGGTTTGGGGCAAACAGACCTGGTTGTCGGGCCATAAGAATAGCCCTTGTCAGCTGTGTGGCCTTGTGCAAGTCACTGTACCTCTCTGAGCCTCCAGTTTCTCATTGTAGAAGCCTTGCATGGGTTTAAGATCTATAAAGCTCAGTGCCTGGCATGCAAGGGACTCAGCAGAAGGCAGTGTGGTTCTGTGGTCAGTTGGTATGGGATATGTCCTAAGTAGTTGTTAGAATGGTCACCTCCTTCCATTATTAAAGAAAAGGCAGACAGAATTGTCTCATTCTCCAGGGAGAACTAGATAGGTGATGACTGCTAAACAAGTATTAGGAGTTTCATTGTTAGCTCTTTGGAGAATAGCCTACCCCTTGCTACCACGTGGTAGGTGGTGTAACTTCAGGCAGTTGTTTTTTTAATAACACCACAGTCTACAGTTATTAGTACTGGTAGGTACCTCAGATTTTCTAACTGGAGTTAAAACATGGTCCACCCACTGCCCTGAGTATACTTTTTCTAGTTGGGTAATTTGGAACTTCCTCCAATTTCTCAGCCCGGGCTAGATAAAATGTGCTACCACATTTAAAGTGGTTTTAGTTACATTTCATGTACTGTTTTTCATAAGTTAATGTCCAGGGTGCAGTGATCATAGTAAAATGCTAGATGTACATCTGGGGCATTTGGGAGTGACACAGTGCAGTAGCCCTGGTTCTCACTGCCCTCCTGTGGCTGGGCCACCCTTGAGGCAACTGGAGAAAACAGTGTTGTCAAGACAGCCCAGTTTCTTTGACCTCCTGAAATCTTGAGACAGGTGAGGGAGTGCCATTTGGGATTTCTGAGAATAAGGATGTAGTGTTTTATGATACGCCAACCTTGCTGACTAACCTGAGTAGAATTTAGCCAGGGCAGGGCTGGAAGCGGCCTTAACTGGACCCCCATCCTCCCTGCGTCAGTCTCAGCTCCAGCACAGAGCCTGCCTCCTGCCCTACAAGGTATGCAGGGTATGTTTCTGCCCTGCAGCCTCTTAATGACCTTGGGTGAAGGACCTAAGTAACTGATACCATCTCCTGGAGCAGAGCAGAGCCAGGATGCTGAGGCTTTAGAAGGCTGTAGGAAATGAAGGTTTGGCCATACCTATTAAAATTTCTCATTATTTAAGTCTAAAGAATGTTTTTTAAGAGAATAGTTGATTATCAGAAAAACTTTAGTTACAACATTCATAGACTTAGTCATAGATTTCATCATTTTCTTGGAGAATGATCCTGAATAGCACTTCAGCAAATACTTGCTCAATTTACCTGTTTGGGAAATGCTGGGACTTAGTGCCTGCATGCCCCACAACCTTGGAGAAATGCCAACATATACCACACTCAGCCTCATCTCTATATCCCCAGGCAGGACTGCAACACCAGCCTGGTGCGGGCCTGCTGGAATGAGCTCTTCACCCTCGGCCTGGCCCAGTGTGCCCAGGTCATGAGTCTCTCCACCATCCTAGCCGCTATCGTCAACCACCTGCAGAACAGCATCCAGGAAGGTAGGGTCCAGGGACTTGGGGCTGGGGTGTGTCTTGGTCTAGCCTGGTGGCCATGGAGCAGAGCCCAGCCCTGGTTGGAGGCCCATGTCAAAGACATCTTTGTTGACCCAGGCTGGCACCATAGCATATTGGCTAGCCTCAGTGTCCCACAGTATCCATAGGCTGAGGGTAATTTGACTTTTAAGTTATGGAACCTTTGGACTGGGCGTGGTGGCTCATGCCTCTAATCCTTTGTTAGGTCAGGCAGGAGGATTACTTGAGCCCAGGAGTTTGAGACCAGCCTGGGCAACATAACAAGACCTTGTCTCTTGAAAAATACAAAACATTAGCCAGGCCTCAGGAGGCTGAGGCAGGAGGATTGCTTGAGTCCAGAGTTTGAGGCCATGGTGAGCTGTGATCATGCCATGTACTCCAGCCTGGGTAACAGAGCAAGAACCCATCTCAATGAATGAATGAATGAATCAATGTTACAGGACCGTTATCAGTCAGAATATGTAAATTTCTGCCAGACTGCACTCTTCATATAATTAATATGAAGAAAAAAATGGAAAAGGTCAATTTCTTGATAGGCATTTAGTGGTGATCTTTTCAGAATAATCACAGCTGATATTTTCGTCTTCATTGATAGGTTACTTTTCTCATGTATAATAGTTCAAAGATCCTCACAACCCTATAAATTAGGGACTATTACCTCATTTTTCCATATGGAGGAACTGAGGCCCTGATAAGGTCCCTGGCTTGCTCCAAATGAAACAGTAAGTACAAAAACAAGGGCACAGGCCAAGCACAGTGGCCCACACCTGTAATCCCAGCACTTGGGAGGCCAAGACGGGGGAATCATCGGAGGTCAAGAGTTCAAGACCAGCCTAGCCAACATGGTGAAATCCCATCTCTACTAAAAATACCAAAAATAAAAGGCCGGACATGGTGGCTTACGCCTGTAATCCCAGCACTTTGGGAGGCTGAGGTGGGCAGATTGCCTGAGCTCGGGAGTTTGAAACCAGCCTAGGCAACATGGCGAAACCCCATCTCTACTAAAAATACAAAAAGTTAGCTGGGTGTGGTGACGGGAACCTGTAATCCCAGCTACTCGGGAGGCTGAGGCATCCTGCCTCAGGCCAAGGGAGCTGCCTGGCAGCAGGGCCAGGAAGAATCACTGGTCTAGGAATTCATTATCGAGGTAGAACCCATATTGGAGCAGACTTTGCATACCTCTTGTCACTTCAACTGCAGCTGGAAAATGAAGCTCTTGTTCATCTTGAGATTACTTATTTTTAAATGTGAAATCGTCCCATTTCTTTCCATCTGTGGCCCTCAAATAAGCTAGTTTTATTGTTCTTACCCACCTTTCTCAGAGATTTGTGATCTTGGTTTCTAGATAAACTTTCTGGGGACCGGATAAAGCAAGTCATGGAGCACATCTGGAAGCTGCAAGAGTTCTGTAACAGCATGGCGAAGCTGGATATAGACGGCTATGAGTATGCATACCTTAAAGCTATAGTTCTCTTTAGCCCCGGTAAGATATGCAGTGGGGATGCATGACCCTTTTCCACCTGTATCTACTGATGTTTCTGAACATGAACATGTTGTCATCAGTGGTGTAGAAAGAGCCCTGCAGATTATATGTGACCTAGATGTTTTGCTAGATAACATAAATACATAAATGCTGTTAATTCTTGCCTTTACAGCCCCAAAGAAATATGTTCCAGTGCCTGATGTCACGCACTGAATAGATTTGTGTCCTAATTAAACCATTGGCCAAACAAGACTACAGCATACAAAAGTGTGCTACCACCCGATATCCTTTTTTTTTCTGTTTTTGGCTCTTAGGAGTTTCCAAGTTTTATTAGCATATATAATCCAGTACACATTGAAGCTCTACCTGTTTGCACAGAATGTGTATAGCAGTAGCAGCAGCTGCTGCAGAGCATGATAAAAGGTATGTTCACAGGAGATGAAGAGGCAGCGATCAGGATGTCTGGGCTGGCCTCACTTCCCTCAGCTGTTCTCTCAAGGTCTCTGAAGAAGTCACTCAGGCTGACTGCTGACCTCACAGTAGGGGTTGGACACAACTTAACCTTTTCCTCTTCCTTCCCAGCCCTCCGCTCACTAACAACAAAATAGCTAATTGAGACAAATTATATAATTAAATATTTAGAAAGTAAATGACAATTTCTAATTTTATGTGATAGTTTTTAAAACTATGTTTTCTAGGGTAGTAGGAAGCCAGATGTCTGGAACCAACCAGGTGGGACTGCTCAGGCTGGCATCTACTCAGGGTCCCCGACCCCCTCCCAGGAACTTCAGGCCTGGGCAGAAAACAGGAAAACCCAGCATTCTAATATCTAAACTAGATCAGTCTTTGAATTCAGTTTGTTAATACTTGAGAAGTTTGCAGAAGTTTGACTAAAAATACTAAGAAGTCTGCAAGTGAGACTTTTCAAATTCAGAGGGAATTTGGAGGTACTTTTCTGTTTTCAGATCATCCAGGTTTGACCAGCACAAGCCAGATTGAAAAATTCCAAGAAAAGGCACAGATGGAGTTGCAGGACTATGTTCAGAAAACCTACTCGGAAGATACCTACCGGTGAGTCATTTAGGTACACGCTCTTGCTTGGGGCAGCAAAGAGTGTGGTTGAGTCTATAGTTTCAAATATAAGTTATGTTAGCCTTTCCATTTTTAGCAGCCTGATAGAGCCTCCATTGGATCACACTCTAATTCTTGAGTTTTGTTTTTTTCCAAGCTCCCAAGAGCTAGAGAGAATTCTTGAATTCTAGAGGCGGCATAGAGAGTGCCAGCAGGAGGGCCAGGACTGCGGCTGATTATGGCATTGCTGTGTGACTGTGACTGTGGCCTCAGATTGCTATTCTTTAATTGGAAAAGTTGGAGCAGATGCTGTATGGCTTGTTCCGGGGCTAACACTGTACATGAGGTTTGAGTTCTCATGGAGATTGCCTTATCCAGAATAGTTTGAAAGGTCTGCTCCTCTGGTCAGTATCCATTGAAGCAGCAGTGCTAGAGTACTTGACAGAAAAGTTCTCATTGACAGAAATCAAACCTGACCCCTATAAAGGAGTGTATGAGTTGTATAAAGTCATTTTACCTTCAGATAAACTGATGGAAAAAAGTTTATTTGGGTGAAAATTAACGATATTATTTGTAATGAATGTGTAGCCATATATATATATATAAATTAGCTTTTCTCATGGAGATTTAGACAGGAAAGTTTTCAGATCTGCCAAAGGGCAGAATGCATTGACAGGCTTTTCAGTCAAGGATGGAAGAATGCTTTCCTGTGACAGCTTCTGACCTAACGGAAGCTACATGAATTTGTGAGACCCTTTCAAGTAAAGTATTTCCCTCCCCATCATATCCCCCTAAAATAAACATTGGAACAAAATTGACAGCATGGGAAGACACACAGGCCCACCTTCCCCAAAGTGTGTCCCCTGCACAGACCTCAGTCTGCAGGAGCCCCATGGAACAGAGGTGTCTTGGGTGTACATACATTTTGTACTCACTTGTTTGGTTTTTTCTCATGATAAATTTCTTTAAAAGGAACTGTTGAAATCAGAAAAGAGAGGTGGGTAGATGGATGCATTTGGTTTGATTCTGTGCAGTTCAGACAGGGCCCCAGGGGCCTGTGCTGAGCTGTGGTTGAAGGGTATCAAATAGTCTCCTTTTCCAATGACTCTCTCTTTTACAGATTGGCCAGGATCCTCGTTCGCCTGCCGGCACTCAGGCTGATGAGCTCCAACATAACAGAAGAACTTTTTTTTACCGGTCTCATTGGCAATGTTTCGATAGACAGCATAATCCCCTACATCCTCAAGATGGAGACAGCAGAGTATAATGGCCAGATCACCGGAGCCAGTCTATAGTGCACACCACACACCTGCCAAGGAGCAAAAGAATCCTCCCAGGACCGTTCACATACAAAGAAAAGTAAAGTAGTGGTATTTTGGTATGTGCAAATATTTCCATATGTTAGCCATTTCCTGTCTGGTTTTTCCTTATCTGTTAATCCCAGACAATAGCAATTAAGACTAGTAGGATCCTTTCCTGACAAGAAATGTTTTAATGCCTTTTGATGAAGCAGCAGATTTTGAAACAATCTTTTAACTCAATTTATATTTAGAAATTCTCAAAGGGCAAAAAACAAAGGTTTTCTAACGTCAGAGACTAGTATTAAAGAAAACTGAAAGAACCTAAGAGAATAGTATGTGTGTGTATATATATAAAAAGTCCTTGGAATTATAGATACTAATTACCAGGGTAATAATATTAGCACTTTCTAAGCACTTAGCAATGTGTAATGTTAGTAACATCTTGCCTGTGGGCAGGGCAAACGGAAAACTGTGTATGTCTTTTGCCGAAATGCTAATGATTTCTGTGAAAACTCACTAGGGTACAGGAGACAATCATTTATGTTTAAGAAAAGGCATCATTCCTAATTGTGTGCACATGTTGTGGTTGAGCTGAATTCTGTGAATGGAAACATGGCTCATTTGCATCATGCAGTAAGTGAGAGTGTGGCGGCACAGTCGGTGGTGACCCAGACCAGAAGCTTCTAGCCACAGAGCGGACATTTGTCAGGTTCCCTGACCACTTGGTCCTGGTCTCTGATGCGCATCTACAGATCCCTCTAGAACCTGGGGTTCTCCTTTGATGACTTAGTTGTCTGAATTGGAGTACAACTAATCAGACATTAACTGCCAAATGAGATGTACAATTCCTCTAGCAAGTGCAAACATCCCCAAGTCACGTCCAGCGCTCATGGCAGATGGAGCCTTCTGACCGAAAAGCACAAGGTTGGCATTTTGAGCCCTTGACAGTACTTCCAATACAATTGGGGGTGCCTGTGTGTTTGTCCAGATGGAGGAGCGTGGCCTTGGAGTGTGAGGGTTACCTTCCCAGGACTTTTCTACTCCAAATGCCCCCTTGAAAAGGACTCATGTTTATGCAGTTCTGTCAGAACTGTGAGGCTGGAGTGGGGCTGGGCAGGAGCTTCCTGTGCCACCTAGCCAGAGTGGCCGGAGCCTGGTAAAACTGGATGGAAGGTTTCAGGATAGTTTTTCCTGTTGACCTTAATACCAGAGATTTTAAAAATGTGTGCAGACTCAGCATCTCTGTTGGCAAGTCTGTTAATATTAGCACACCATGCACTTTGGTTCCCCCAGGTGTGTGCCAGCCGACCACCCCAGAGCATTTTAAATGCAGGCTGCCTGCTCCTTAAAAACAACCCACTATTCCCATTCCCAAGGCGATAGTCTTTTTCCTCATAAATTATAGCAATCAGAGTTTACAGCAAGAACAGAGTATGCTGATAAGAAAGTTATGTCTAACTTTCAACACCCATAAATTCTCATGGATGTGAATAAATAGCAAGCTCTTCCTGTTTGAGAAACATGGCATGTGGAAGACCAGGTCAAGTGTTTTCTCTTTTGAATAGTCCAGATTAAGAAAAAGCACCTTGTCGGGTTAAGTTTGCCTGTTGATTTGTTAATCAGATGGTATCAAAAAAGATCCCCAAACACTCCCCTGCCTCACAGGTGCTCTGATCTGGCTCAGGCTGGTGCCACACATGTGGTTGCACGGGGGTGCAGGCAATGGAAGCTGTTGCAGGCTCAAGGCAGAACAGAATGCTTGATTCCGAAGGGTTAGCAGCACTTTACGCAAGTCACTATTAGTGGGGTAAGTGGGAACAATATCTCCAACTTCTGAATTCTTTAGATTTAATTGTATCATTTTCTACTTCTTGCCTTGGCAACAAATTTTGAGAATAGTGGGGGTGGCCATTATAAACTGATGGAAAGGATTTAATTTTGCCAGCTTAATTTTTACTTTTCTAACCCTGATGTGTTTTCAGTTTCAAAATTAAGACAAAAAAACGGCTGAGAAAATGGAATTGCGGCAGGTTTGTTTCATCTCTGCTTTACACAGATTGTTGCCCGCCTTCTGTCCTTTTGATTCTTGAGTGTGAGCATGAGGGCCATGTTGCAGTTCTTGGGAATATACACATAACAGCTTTCAGATCCCAGTTCTTGGTGTTGGTATAAAGGTCTCCACCAGCCCCTCTTCTCATTTCCAGGTCACTCAGTGGCAGCCAGTAGGCCATTTAGACTCAGGTGGATAAAGAAGTCTTGGGCTCTGGTGAAACAGCCTTGCAGAAAATGTGATTTTGCTTGGGAAGGTGCTGATTCTAACCTGGTCTTGCTCGTTAAGTCCCTTTGCTGGTGATGGCTGGTTTTGGGTTTTGAACACTACTTTGTCAGTTTCTCAGATCCTCTTGGCCTTAGATTGAAGTGGCCTTTTCTTTAAGGATCATGTCCACATAAGCTGAATTCTTGGTGCTTGAACTCATTTCAAGCCTTTGACTGCAGGTCCATTTCAGCTCCTGTCAGGTTTGTTAAGGAAAGTTAGCCCAAAGTCAAGAATTAAAGAGATCCCAAACCAAATATTTGAGCTCCATCTTTCACAGTGCTTACAACCGTTGTTAGCAGTTTGTGAAACTCTGGGTTTCATGAAGTGAGACGTGTCCTCTGGCTGCTGAACTCCACAGCACCACATCATGCTTCCTCTTCTACTGGCCTGGCCGCTCTCCCTTAGTGAGGAGAAGCAGCTGGCTCAGAGAGGTGGAACAGACACATGCTGTCATCTCTTAGTTAAGTGGGCTCTTTTCCAGAAGTATCTCAGGTAATGTTGGGTTAAGACAGATAAATGTTGAAATTGGTGGAGATCATTACACATTAACATAAAAGGACAGGAAGAGATTTTTTTGAAAGACCAAATTAGTTGAGCAAGTAATACTTTTCAAGTTACTCCTGGAAGGTGTTTTTAAGGAAGTATGTTACCTACCATACTCTCCAAATTTGACATTTCTGTGTGTGTGTGTCCTGCAGGGTTCCATTATTTGTCTAACCCTTGCCATAAGGCTGTTGTATGAGGTTCTTTTGCTGTTCTGGGCTTTAATTTCAGGTGTCGTCACTTGTAAGATGTGTTGTGTAACTGCCCTCAAAAGAGGGACTGATTTTTAGCTTGTCATTGTCAGTATTGAATGTGGACTCTTCTGAGGCAATTAGGACACTAAGCCTGGTGGAACCATGGATGCCTTGGGCTCCCTAATCTCATGGCAGTATTCACGCTACATACATACTTGGCTGTCTTGTCTGGGGGATAGTTATGGCAAGGAGCAAAAAATTCTAAGGACTCTAGCTGTTTCTAGGGCTTTTACTCTCATAGTCCTTTAAGGACATTTCCTGCAGAGCAGTCTTGTCACAGCCCTCCCTCTGCAGGGCTTCCAGCCCCTGGCTGCAGTCAGCAGTTCATACCACATCTGTGCATCCATGTTCTGAGACCTGATGTCATTGGAGTCCAGAAGTTTGTTGCAACTTTCCAGTGTAAATGACTTTACATGCAATGGGGTCATAGGTAACATTTGCTTCTCTAAGTCCAGATCATGGAAAGTCTCATCATCTGACAGCCAGTCTTCTCCCAGAGAGGGTGGTGCCCATTGGGCCCTGGGAATGCCTCAGCCAGCAAAGCAGATGCCCCATGTGCTTCCTTTTTCCAGCTTCCATTCTCTTGGTTATGCGGCTCTTTGAAAATGTCTTAACTTTGATGTAAATTTTAAAAGCCAACCCTTCATTGAGACAGGGTTGGTTTGGGTCTTTTGTACGCAGGGTGTGGACCTCCTCATTGTGTGCCTCCCGCCAGCGTGCACTTCACATGTCCAGCCCTGGGTCCCTTCAGCAGCATTGTGCGTGTACAGGTTACTAGGCTGCAAGACTGAATGAATGTACATGTGTTTATATCCCCTCTATATGTACAGTGTATATAGTGTGTGTATGTGTACATAGATGTATATTATGTATACAGACATGTATCCAAACTTTCCTTATGTTTTAAAGAGAGTTTTTGATAAAGTTGCTAACGTAAACTGATGTGGGTGTTGCAAGGTCCCTCAGCAGGGAAGATTTGCTGGTGATTTCTTCACTCCATTTTCCTTTGGGTGAGCGTGCCTGGGAAGGGCCATGACGTCAGAATTTCCATTCTGCACAAGGAATAATTCCAGGCAGAAAACGTTCTGACAGGGTGACATTTCTTTATGTTTTTAGGTTCAGACAAGAGCCAGGAAGTTGGAAGACAGTTTATCTTAATATCTAAAACTAAATAGGAATTTTTTTGTGCACCTATTCATGGCCTACCTGGAAGGAACTTGGCAGTTGAGTTGAGCCATCAGCCTTCCCAGCTACTCAGCTCTATTGAGCAGCCCAGAGACAGGCATTATGGTCAAAGATTCAGAACGCTCTGTGTAAGTGAGGCCTGACTCCCAAAGATGGTAGCAATGTTCCAGGCTTGCTCTGTGCTCAGTCAGCAAGATTTTGGGTACTGTCCTGTGAGTAAACAAATAGAAATTCCCATCTATCTATCGCCAATTAAAAATAACCTACCAAGTATTCTTTAAAATTAAGCATGGACATTGATGGCTAACCTTTGTGCCATATAAGCTACAAATCGCAAGTTACTTCTCTAACTGTAAGCATGTGAATGAAATCCACAGACTTAATTCCTTTCTGTAAATTATGATTTTAAATTTTCAGATAAAAATTACATTTTAATATGGGTATGTGTGTCCTTAAAGCTACAGATACCAAATTTTCCTTGTCCAGGTCTATTCTGATGAATTTTACCCCTTAATCTGGCCTTAAACTGAGACTTGGTGAGACTCAGCCCTAGAGAGCCAGGGCCCGGCCCAGCAGTAGTGCTCATGGACCTGGGAAGCAGGGGCCTGCTGGAAGGAATCACTGGATCACTGCAAAAACTCACATAATCCACAGGTTGCTCTTTTTCTTTTAAAAATAAGTTATTGAAATGTGTTAAACACACTTTATGAGACCATAGTACTCAGTGCCTTTTGTGAGACAGTGGGTTATTTAGCCTTCAGCTTCCCTGTTTTTGATGTAGAGAAAGCTTCTGCTACTTCATTGGCCTCATCCCACAAGATTGTACGACCTTTCCCTGTCATAGCCTGTCGTGACAATCACACTATTGGAAGTGGCTTTCTACTTAAAATGAAAATAGAAGCGTCACAGTCTCTAAATGAATTGAAATAAAAAATTTCCTTTGGGGCTATTTATCTTAACAGCAATCTAAAACCAAAATGTGAGCTTAAAAAAGGTATCTTTGCGGGGGAGAAAAACGTCATATATTTTTAATGCCCAGCTATACTTTCAGTTAAGAAGCCAATAATTTTGGTGTCTTGGTATTTGTACATGCAACATAGAAAAAAATGCTCAACATTTATTGATTGATAGACTGTTAAAGTTTAGTGTTTGGATAACATTTGGAAGTAGTAGACTTTACATTAAAAAAATGGCTTTTCTTTAGGAAAGTATAATCAATTATTTTAACAACCATAGCATTCATGGACTCAAATGCTGCTGCCACACACAACTCAAGTGCTGGAATATTTTTCTACAGTCTCTCTGTTCTACAGATTATCTTGTAAACCAGTGTTCAACTAGTTTTATAACTGAAAAGCTGCACATTTTTCACAGTACAAGCTGTAGTTTTTACTTGTAGTTTGGACTTCTCTGTTAGAATGTAACTGCATTACCAGCCCTTTTAAAGGCATCTATCAAAGGAAAATTTGGGTGTTAGATTTTCTTGGGACCGTTTCTGTAACCTCTGCCCTTCACAATATAAAAAATATTGGTTATGCCATTACATTTTAATGCCAGGTTTAAAACCTGTTGAGAGCTGCAGCTTTATACAGCTTTCTTCTCCCTGTGAAATCACTTTGTTTATGTGATGGCATTTAAAAAATAGCATGTTGTTTTTAAACTGAATTTTATATCTAATCAATGTCTTCAGTCTTGAAGAAGAATTTGCATTGTTGTGTTTGTATATAGAGTATTGCAGTGCATGAATTAGCTTTATGCATTTTATTAAATGCTGTTTCAATGTGGCATTATTGTTGTGGCTTAATACTACTACCTAAATGAGGTTTATACTATTAAAAGTGAATTAAAGACTAACGTGCATCCTGCTCCTCATTTTTCTTCATAATAGTGAACCCTGGCCCCCAGACAATGCAGCACTCTCCTTTGTCACGGAGATGAAGCATCCTGGTGGTACTGTCTCTACAGCTCTCCAGCTCCTACCTTAGCCTTAGTGGCCAAGGGGGATTGGGCCCTCTGTGGCCCACTGGATTTGTTAATGCCTTTAGCGGGAAACCCTGGCAGGACAGTTTCTACATCCACCCAGCAGCAGGGCAGCTCCTTGGTGTGGAACTAGGAAAGCCACACAGATGTTTCTGGAGCAGAACACAGTTGGGCTGCTGACCACTCAGGTGTCATTACAGACAGGCCTTAAACTGGCAAGCTCATTCTCTAAGGATATGTGTGATTATCAAGGGTAAAAATAAGTTCCAGAAGTTAGTTAGAACATATTCATATCTCACCTCTCATGTTCCAGGTGAGGATTCTGAGGTCCAAAGTCAGATGCACAACAGAATTCACTGGCAGCCAGCTAGAGCCTTGCTCTGTCACCAAGGCTGGAGTGCACTGCAGCTTCAACCTCGTGGGCTCAAGCAGTCTTCCTGACTCAGCCTCCTGAGTAACTGGGACCATGCAGATACAGGTTTAGATGGCACTGCCAGGTGCCTCAAAGAGAAGAAACGTGGTCATTTCAGAAGAAAAATGCTGGTGAACACTGCTTATTCAAATAAGATTAAGAACATGTATCAATTACAAAATCCTCACATTTTCTCCAATTTTTTCCCATTTCTGTACATTTTAAACCCATCTTTTATACTACTAAACAAAATAGAGAAAGACAAAGGTTTAAAGAGAAACTATCCAGGGTCAAGTAGCCTATAAGGGACAAAAAAGAAAATGGTGTTTATTTCCACAAATTATCTGCTGCCCGTGAAGCCAGCCACACAAGCAGTAAGTAACTGCACCACAAGAATGGCTGCTGCCTCCACACACATCCCTTCAGGGTCTGGGCTGTCCACCTTACACCCATCACTCCTGTGTCAAGCCTGAACTCAAACCCTGGTTTTCTGTCCCATTAGGGACTAGACATTTATTCTGTCTAGAGAGAGGTCACCACTCTTGGCTTAGGACGTTCCTGCTGGTTAGCCTCTTTGGGTGTTAGAGGAAGGCTTTCTGTGTCACAGGCTATGGAGACCTAAAGTGCAGATAAAGACCAAAAGGAACTAGGTGCTTTCTGAAGAGCCCTTGCGGCCAAGTAGAAAGCCCAGGCAGCTGGTGTCAAGGTCAAGACTGCAGTCAAGTTGGGTGGGAAACTGAAACCAGCAGCAGGAGGGCTCTCAGAGAGAGCTTTTGTCCGCCCACCCTCCAAAATGCTGATGGCAGAGAGACAAGCCGCTAGATTTCAATTAAACACCCCCTTCAGAAGTCTGTAGTCACTCAAGGAACATCTGTCCGTTATACATCAGACTCCTGCCCACCATCCCCTCCCACCCCCCACAGGCCATCACCCCAAACACAGGTCTGGTACAAAATCAAACTTGAGCATCAAATGTAAAAGATCCAAATGGGCTCAATTTAATGTGAAAATCTCCAACAGTTAATGAAACACATTGTAGTGTGACATTTCACCAGCCAGCTACTTCATGTGGCAAAAAAGGCAGCCTTTTCCCCATTTTACAGTTTCAGTTACAGACCCAGAAAGCTTATTTAAGACTTGGTCAAGGCCCCAGTAGGTAGAGGAATGAAAACTTCAGTCCTGCTCTTCCAATCACCACCATCCTTTTTTAATTATTTTAACCACTGCTTGCCTGTATCAGATAAAGTCAAGTCTCCTTGGCTGAGTTTCTAGGGGTCCATGATCCAAGTGGTCCTTCACTTTATAATTAAACCTATTTAAAAAAAATTTTTTTTTTAGACAGTCTTGCTGTCACCCACATTGGACTGCAGTGGCACGATCTCTACTGACTGCAACCTCCGCCTCCCAGGTTCAAGTGATTCTCCTGCCTCAACCTCCAGAGTAGCTGGGACCACAGGCGCGTGCCACCATGCCTGGCTAATTTTTTGTATTTTTAGTAGAGACAGGTTACACGGTGTTAGCCAGGATGGTCTCAATCTCCTGACCTCGTGATCTGCCCACCTCGGCCTCCTAAAGTTCAGGGATTACAGGCGTGAGCCAATGCGCCCAGCCTTAAAATTTTTTTTCTTGAGTCAGTCTTGCTCTGTGGCCCAGGCTGGAGTGCAGTGGCACGGCCATGACTCACTATACCCTCGACCTCCCAGGCTCAAGAGATCCTCCCACCTCAGCCTCCCAAATAGCTGGGACTACAGATGCATAACACCACACCCAGCTAACTTTTGTATTTTTTGTAGGGACAAGGTCTTGCCACATTGCCCAGGCCGGTTTTAAACTCCTGGGCTCAAATGATCTGCCCACATCAGCCTCCCAAAGTGTTGGGATTACAGGCATGAGCCACCACACCCAGCCTAGCTAAATCTGTTCTTAAGGTGACCCTAGAGGGCTCTACTGTCTTCTGGAGGCTGAAACCTCCACCTTAGCATAACTAAAGTGATAGTAACATCAGTGTCTTAGGAGGAAAGAACTAGGAAGGCACTCAATAATGCATCACTCCCTCCTCCAGAGCTTGGTGTAAGCAGGGCCTGAGGTAGCCAGCAGATCCAGGCAGCCAGCTGCAGGCACCATACCCCAGCAAGGCCTCAAAGTCTCCACCAGGTGGTGTCTCCTTTCCTCCGTGGCCTACAAACCTCCCTGCTAATACACACAGTGGCTGGGCCACGGGCTGGTAGTGGCTGACTGGCCAGTCAGCATGTGCCTGAGTAAGGCTGGCCTGTCAGCCCCTGGGGCTCCTCCATCTCTGGCCCATGGCTAGGCCCCCCAGCAGGCAAGAATCATCAACTTTAAAAAGCAGCGCACGAAGGGTTGCCTTTGGATTTCTGAAAAATACCCCAAGGACCTGAATGGAGCAGCGTCCACACTGCCAACCACAGATAGCGCTAGCCAGACTCAACCATAGCAGCCCTTATGTTCTCCAGAGTAGGGCCCAGAGAAGATTTATGGTCAGCAAAGACCAGTGAAGGGTCGCAGGACCAAAACAGGTGTCAATAAGGTGGGGCCTTAACCTCCCAGGCCCAAAGCCTTTCCACTACGTAGGCCTTCCTCTTGCCTAGGACCGGATACACACCAAGCTGCTGTTAGGAAGCATTTTATTGACCAGTGGAGCATGGATATGCATTTAGCAGCTCAGCTGCAGACTCTCCTCTCCCCACATTCTTTTACACAGGTGTGTAAAGGGGACCTTTTATTGCAAAAAGGATTTCCAGAGTCTCCAGACACAGAACCACAGGCTTCCCTGGGCCAAAGTAACCCCATTCCAATCTCCCCATGGTCAGACACCATCACCCAAGCCCACAGTGACCATGGGCCTTAGTCCTGGGCCTTGGCTTTCAGGGCGGCTTTGTACTTCCCTGTCATCTCCTTGGGTAATGGCACCAGTCTGGGGCAGGGCACCTGCCCTTCCACTTCACAGATGCACTCCCGCAGGCAGTACTTTCGAGGGCCGAAGTTGGCTGGGTGAGAGAGCTGCTTTTTCTCCTCCTCCTCTTCCCTGAGCGTTTTCCTGCCAAAGAGCATAGATGTCAACCAAGCACTGGTGACTCAGCACCAGGCACAGGGGCCGTTTCTCAGCCAAGACAGCCCCACCATCCTGCAGGGACACCTGGATCTCCTGCCTTCTAACCTGCTCCTCACTCCCAAAGCCTATCCCTCCCTCCCTGCTGGCCCCTGAGGAGAGGAGTGCAGGAAGGCCTGCTGTTTGTTGTCCCCTCAGACCACTGGAGCAAGCCTACACAGTGTAGTCAGCCTATCTGCTGCCACAGCGGGGCCCACAGCTCTGACGAACAATCACAGGAAAAAGGAGCCTGAAAAGGCCTCTGTGCAGTTTCTCAAAGACAGACTTTTTTGGCTTCCCTCCCTTTCTGTCTCTTCTCATTCATGGAAAGAAAGACCTGTCACCAGGAGTCCTGGGGCTAGATATCTGCTAGCTCCAAGCTGAAATTCCCAGGAGACGGGTTAGCAGCTGCGTTTCAGCTTCCCGTCCCCATAGGAGGGAGAGAGGTGCTTCTCACACTGTACAGCCAAGAGAGATAAAGCTTACAGAGGTTTAGTGATTTGGTGAGCAGCCCCAGCTCTTGTTAGTGTCTGGGGTTCACTGTTAGAGAATCTTACCTCTCAACACCCTTCCCACCCTTTCTTTCTCAAATTCTCTGGGCTCAGAAGTTTGCTCCTTCCAGGTCAAACCAAACAACTCACTCAGTTTTCCCCAAAATTTTTCTAATGTGCTCCATGATCTCCTTATTGCTCTTGGTCTCCACATCCACCAGGACCTGCTCCCCAGAATCTGGAAACAGAAAACACAGGGCAGAAAAGAAGCAGAACTCACAGCACACTGGGACTCAAAAACTTGTAATGTGGGACTTAATTTTAGTGGCAGAAACATTTTAATAAGATAGATATATTTGTTCATATGATCCATAATCCCACCCTTCCTTTCTCCGTATTCCTTTAGACCTGAGCAAGTATAAACTCTAGGTATGTAAAAAAAGCATGCTATTTTAATAGAAAGACATTCCATGTTCATAGATAGAAAGACCCAATATTCTTAAGATGGCAATTCTCCCCAAATTGATGTACACAGATTCAATCAATCCAATCCCTATCAAAATCCCAGAAGGTGTTTTTGTAGAAATTTAGAAGTTAAGCCTATAATTCATACGGAAATGCAAACGACCCAAAAGAACCACAACAATTCTGAAAAACGAGAATTGTTTTTCAATTTTGAAAAACTGAAACTACTGTAATCAAGACAGTGTGGTACTAGTATAAGAATAGACATACACTGTAATGGAACAAAACTGAGTCCAGAAATAAACCCTTATTTGTAAGCCCAACTGCTTTTCAGCAAAGATACCAAGATGATTCAATGAACAAAGATAATCTTTTCAACAAACAGTGCTGGGACAACTGGCTATCTATATGCTAACAAGTGAATTTAGACTTTTACGCCACAACATAAAATTTTTTTAAATTAAAACTCAAAATGGGTCCAAGACCTAAATGTAGCACTGAAACTCTAATAAAACTTCTAGAAGAGAACATGGGAGAAAACTGTCATGATCTTACCTAGGCAAATGTATTTTAGAGATAACATTAACAACATAATCCATAACAGAAAAAAAGTATAAACTGAAAATCAAAAACTTTTGCAGTTCAGAAGACACCATAACCCACGGTCTGGGAGAAAATATTTATAATGCATATATCTGATAAATGACTTGTATCCAGAATATATTAAAAAACTCTCACAACACAATACAACAATCCAACTAATAAAATGGGCAAAGTATCTGAATGTATTAGTCCATTCTCGCATTGCTATAAAGAACTACCTGAGGCTGGGTAATTTATAGAGAAAAGAGGCTTAATTGGCTCATGGTTCAGCAGGCTGTACAGGAAACACAACAGCATCTGCTTCTGGGGAGGCCTCAGGAAGCTTCCAATCATGGCAGAAGGCAAAGGGGGAGGAAGGAGTCTCACATGGTGGGATCAGGAGCGAGAGAGAGAAGGGGGAGGTACCACACTTTTAAACAGCCAGATCTCAAGAGAACTCACCATCACAACCACAGTACCAAAGGAGATGGGGCTAAACCATTCATGAGAAACTGCCCCCATGGTGACTGGACCAGGCCCACCACACCCTACCTCAACATTGGGAATTACAACTGAACATGAGATTTGAGCAGGGACACAGATCCAAACCATATTACTGAATAAACATTTAACTAAAATTTTTTAAAGGGTGAATAAGAAGCACATGAAATGAGATCTCAATGAGTCACTAGGAAAACGCAAATTCAAACCACAACGAGATAAGCAAATGGCCAAAATTTTATAAGCACAGACGATACCAAGTGCTAATGAAGATGCAGGGTAACTGAAACTCATACGTTGCTGGTAGAAATGCAAACTTACTGCCACTTTAGCCAGTGAGATAAGACAAAATAAAGATTGGAAAGAAGTGCAACTAACTGTATTTGCAGATATTACAGTGCCTGTAGAAAATCCTGAGGAATCTACAAAATAAAAACTAATGGAAATAAGTGAATTTAGGATAGAAGGCACCTGCACTCAGCCTCAGCAACAGTGAGACCCCATGTTTAAAAAAAGAAAACAATTGATAAACTGAATTCATCAAAATTAAAATTTCTGCTCTTCAAAAGACACCACCAAGAAAATGAAAAGCAGGCCACAGACTGAGAGAAAACAGTCACAAGAAATTCTCTCTGACAAAGGAAATGCACCCAGAACAAATAAAGAACTCGGTAAGAAAGCAGCCCGGTTTTTTTTTAAATGGAAAATAGATTCAAACAGACTCTGTTATAAAAGAAATATCTGTGGCCAATAAGCACAGGAAAAGATACTTGGGAGGAATGCAAATTAAAACTCCAATGAGATAGACACCCAATGGAATGGATACAATTTAAAAGATAATTCGTGGGCAGAATAATGGTCCCCAGAGATATCCACATCCTAACTCCCAGAACCTTACACAGCAAAAGGGACGTAACAGATGTGATTAAAGTTAAGGACCTTAGGCCGAGTGCAGTGGCTCACGCCTGTAATCCCAGCACTTTGGGAGGCCGAGGCGGGTGGATCACGAGGTCAAGAGATCGAGACCATCCTGGTCAACATGGTGAAACCCTGTCTCTACTAAAAATACAAAAATTCAGCTGGGCATGGTGGTCCGTGCCTGTAATCCCAGCTACTCAGGAGGCTGAGGCAGGAGAATTGCCTGAACCCAGGAGGCGGAGGTTGCGGTGAGCCAAGATCGCGCCATTGCACTCCGGCCTGGGTAACAAGAGCGAAACTCCGTCTCAAAAAAAAAAAAAAAAAAAAAAAAAGACGTTGAGATGAAGAGACGATCCTGGATCATCCAGAGGGCCCAGGTTAATCCCACAGGTCCTTAAAACTGGAGCACCTGGACAGGCTGTGGCCAGAGGGAGGTGGAAGGATAGAGGGACAGCCGCATATGCAAGGTTGCTGGCTTTGAAGATGGTAGAATAAGACCACAAGCTAAAGAATGTGGACAGGCCCTAGAGTCGAGGAAAGACAAGGACATGGGTTCACCTCAAGCCTCCAGGAAGGAAGGCCCTGCTGACACTGGTCCCGGCCCATGCTGGACTTCTAACCCACAGATCTGCAAGACAATCCATTTATGTGAAGCCACCAAGTTTGGGGTCAATTGTTACAGCAGTCCTGGGGTATTAATGCAACTGACAACACTGGCATAAGCAAGGAGGCACTGCTGCTGGAACTCTAGCACCCTGTGACTGCAGGGCAACGTGGCACCATGGCTTTGGAAAGACAGTGCCTGAGAACCTTAAATATGTAGCTGCGCTGTGACCTGGCAGCTGCACTCAAGTATACCCCCAGGAGGCCTGAATGTCTCTGTCCAGAGAAAAGACCTGCGCAGCCTACGCAGACCGTTGCTGTAGCCTTCTCCTTGGCAGCCTAGAGGCCCGCCACTCAAACCTCCTGTCAAGCATTGAGCAAGTACCACCCAGGAGGAGCTGCTGAGCTGACAACCCTGTGGAGTACTGCTGGGATCTGCGCAGCACCTGGGCAGCCCATGTTCTCCCTGTCCGGAGACTAGAGTCTGGCCTTTTGTACCCAACGCAGGGCGAATGCCAATACTCCCAGAGCTGCGTCCTAACCTGTAGTTCTGGCGACCTTCCCTGCCCGGCCTCCTTACTCTCCCCATTTCTTTCAAGGTCTTCTCTCTCATAAATCTCATACTTTTAACTCTCTCAGCATCTTACAAAAACCCAGAGGGTCATCGACAGGCGAGTGGACAGACACACTGCAATACAGTCACAGAATGGAATACCACCCAGCCAGAAAACAGGAAAAACCACAAAACATGTAACCTGGGTGAATCTCAAAACATGAGTTAAAGACACAGGCATAAGAGAACACATACCATGAGAGTCTAGTTACACGACATTCTAAAACAAAACACATCTATAGTGAAAGAAGGCATAACAGGTTGCCTCTCGTGGAAGGGAAATTAACCAGAAAGTGGCACTAAGGAACTTACTGCAGTGCTGGGGCATTCTGTGTCTTGGGGCATGTACATAAGTGCACAGGTATGTAACAACAGCCAGAACCCATCCAGCTGCACGTGCTACCTGGGTGTGCCGTTACCAGCACACTGAGGTAAATTACACTTCAATAAAATTGGTTTAAAAAACAAACAAAGCTCACATGCACAAACTGCCACAGGACCACCCTTCCAACTTTGCCTGTTGTTTCTCACAGCACTATTTTTTTTTTAAGACAGGGTCTCACTCTGTTGCCCAGGCTGAAGTGCAGTGGCATAATCTTGGCTCACTGCAACCTCTGCCTCCTGGGCTCAAGCAATCCTCCTGCCTCAGCCCCCCAAGTAGCTAGGACCACAGGCATATGCCACCTATTTTTTTTTTTTTTTTTTTTGTAGAGATGGGGTTTCACCATGTTGCTCATGCTGGTCTCCAACTCCTAAGCTCAAGAGATCCACCAGCTTCAGCCTCCCCAAGTGCTGTGATTACAAGGATAAGCAACTGTACCACCAGGTCCACAGCACTAATCTTTTGTTAAATTTCTTGTTCATTCTCTGTCTCCCTCTGCTGGATATAATCTCCATGAGGGCAGCAGAAATCTTTGTGTGGCTTCCTGACATCCCAGCACCTGGTCTAGGAGACATGTTACATATTTGTGGAATGAATGAAAAATCATGGCCATTTTGTTATCTGAAGCATTTCCCAACCTACATTTTATTTGATTCTCATAGCCATGTAAGGCAGACATTTTGCCTTCAGTTGACAAATTTTGAAATGGGTCTGTTACTTGCTCAGGATCAAGGTGTCTGAGAGCTGGGCCAGGTTAGCTGCCCTCCTGGGTTTCCAGCAGGCGCCTAACTTAATGGAATAAATATCACTTAGCACCTGGTCCGAACATTAACAGCATCGTGTAAGTGCACACAGTCCTGAGAGGACACACACAGCACTAAGACAAAGGGGTTCTGGGAATGTGTGGGAGGTCACTGTAGGATGCAGGGAAGGCTTCCTAGAAGTGGTGCCCATGCTGAGCTTTGAAGGAATTTTTTTTTCAGCTAAATGAGCAAAGAAAGGTAGAAAGGGGATTCCAGGCCAGGAACATACTTGAGGTGTGACAAGGGACACTGGAAAAATTAGCCTCATGGTGTGAGGCAGAGGACAGGAAGAGATGAGGTTAGAGAGGGAGAGGAGTCCAGACCTCAGTGGCTGCTGTGTGCCTCAGTATGGGGGAGCCAAAGGTGCCAGGGGTCATGGACACACCACAACGGCGCGTGCTGCAGGTCATCCTGACGCTCCCACAGGAAGGATGCAGTCTCTCCAGGCATGTCTGGGACAGCCCCAGGACCATGGCGGAGGACCCACTCACCTAAGTAGAAACGCAGAAAGGGTGATGGTGTCATGTTCTTAAACATCATGATCTGCACCCAAGGATTTTTGTATTGAATCTGAGGTATGTTGAAAAATACAAATTTCCTGCAAAAGGGAAGAAATGAAACCTATGAAACAGAGTTTTTAACCTAAAATTTTACACATAGGTATTTTTCTAAGGAGAAAGTCCAGTGCTTTCATCAGATTCTCAGAGGACCCTGCCCCACAAAACAGTTGAGAAAAACAACTTGCAGGGATCCTCTTAGGAGATTCCCTGAATGGCGTGGGGACCCCTGATCAGGCATTTGAGGGGAAGGAAATCTGTATCCCAACTTGCACTGCAGGCTAACCTAACCCCAGTGCAAAAGCACAACTGAAAATGGAACTATGAAAGGCACTACGTGGTGATTTGTGTCATGAAGACGAGGTATAAACACGAGTGGCAGTTCATGGAGCTGTGTCCTTACTGGTGTGCGGCGTATCTAGGTGATACCACAATTTTAAAATAATGAGACCAATGGATTTATTTACACATGGGGGAACATTTTTATAATTTAGGAGTGGAGGAACACCTTTAAACTTATAAGATTTGAACATTGATTCATACTCCAAAGAAAACAAAAGGCCTTGCAAAAATAAAAATAAAACATGCATAACCATAGTATTCTATCTGGCTCAACTGTGAATAGCACTTACAGAGTAATATTAATCTGAACACTGAATATTGTCCTATACAAAATTTGGAAGAATAATATTGGGAGGAGTGGGAGGAGGAGTATGGAGGTTTTGGGGGTGAGAAGTAGCAATGGTGGTGAGAGCACTAAGTTCTCATATTCTGTAGTGCCAAGTCCACAGATAACGCCTAACACTAAAAATCAACAAGTAGCTCTCAGCCAGGTACAATGGCTCACACCTGTAATCCCAGCACTTTGGGAAGCCCAGGCGGGAAAAGTGCTTGAGCCCAGGAGATTGAGACCAGCTTGGGCAACATAGGGAGACCCTGTCTCTATAAAAAAATAAAAAATTATCTGGGCGTAGTGGTACATGCCTGTGGCCCCAGCTACTTGGGAGGCTGAGGCAGGAGGATCACTTAAGCCTGGGAGTTTGAGGTTGCAGTGAGCTATGACTGTACCACTGCATTCCAGCCTAGGCAACAGGGCAAGATCTGTCTCAAAAAAAAAAAAAAGTGGCTCTCTGAAGATGTTGTTTAACTATATGCATATAAGACTGTAAATAGTTAAGCCTTGAAAACTGCTGCCTCTAGGGGAGGAATGGAGGCCTTGGAGACCCCCACAGCACACAGGTCTGGGAGCTCAAAGGCTGAATTTACCTTCCAGGGCTTAGGATGCCTGTTTAGTTTCCACTCCACTGCAGAGGAACCCAATGACACAGAACTTTTTACAAATAAACCAGGACATAGCCAGGCAGGACTTTCCCATACTTTAAACTACTAGGACAGAAATATAACAGAGATCTTATAATGGTTCTTGCTGAAACACAGGAGGAAAGTTAACGATGGCAGGAACCTTGAGTTAAGCACTGCCTTTATATGTCAGACATTTTGCTAAGCATCTGACTCTCCAATCCTCAACAACCCCGGAAGGTGGGGTTCTGCAACTAAGGAAACTGAGGTCAGAAGTAAACGCCCCAGGTCTAACTGGGCTCATTAGTCTGGCCTTCGATCACACTGTTCTGTCACAATCAAATTCACCCTGAGGCTTGCAGGCACTTCTTAAGGGTAGAACACCTGGTAGAGGTTAAGTAGGAACTTGGCCCTTAGATACTAAACAAGGCAGCTTCCCACTTCCCCCAGCAGGTACCCAAAGAATGGCTGGTCCAGGACTGCAGTACAGGTCACAGGCCCAATGGGGCAACTGAAGTGCTGAGGGCACATGAACGAAGAAGGGCTGGGGATTAGGGGAGCAGTGCGGCTAGCCAGAGCAAGGCAGGCTGACTCCAACCCGCGGGCACAAGATCACAGAGGGCACAGGTGGCACAGGCCAGCCACTACCACCAGGAACAACGAAACAGCGAATGACTGTATCCCATTTACCTAGAGGATATTAAAATATTTGAGAATGCGAGTAAGAGGGTCATAGGCTTATTTTGATTGGCCATTTAAAAGACAGAGATTTACATAAAAATCTGGATTTCAGCTTCTTGACAAATCAGAAATTCTCCACAGAGCCCGCAATGCCAAGCGATGAAGGGCCCTCTGGACAGGGCACGTGTTCTCCAGCTCACTGAGGGCCCCACCGAGCCCCCCCACCCCTTCTCATGATCTGCGTGGCAGTTGCCCTGGGACAGAGATGTGCACAGTTGTGCAGCAGGTTATGAAGGAGTATCTGGGTGCCCATTCACCCTAAGACCAAGGCCAAGTCTTCCAGGAAGCCGTCAAGCCAGCTGATTCCAGGCAAGCAGGTCTAAGCTCTCAGATTCACCTGCGCAGAGCAAATGGCTAGGAACTGGCTTCCAGCTCTTGAAGGGCCACGCAGTGAAGGTCCATCACAAGAAGTTGCTCCCCGCCCCCACGTCTCATTTTGATCCATCCCACACATCCAGTCCCAAAGTTTCTGCGGGTTAAGGCTGTCTTCCCCCATCACTGATGAACTCGCAGCGCACAGCCTAGCACTCAGAGGGTATTCAATAAATGTGGAATTCATACCTGAAGACCCTAAGGACTGCTTACTGCAGCCTCAGGGTCAATCAAAACCTTTCACTAGCCAGCTGCCATTCAATGAGTCCCTACTCTGCTCCCAGCTGAAAGACATCCTAGGAGTTCCCCGAGTCAGGGTAGGGTCTGAGGCTGCACAGCTGACATAATCACTTCCTTCCAAACCTTGAGTCCCCAAGGAAGTACTTTCACTTACTCCGGGCCACACAGCCCGGCTCACCGCTCACTGGCTGGCACGGTGTCTCGTGGAGCCTCAAGTTACTTAACCTCTCCGTCCGCTTCCCCAGCCTTAGAGGGGGGATAAGCTGGGGTTTCTGTAGGCATCAGAAGAGGGAAAGAAAGCGCGAGAAGCATTCGGAACTGTGCGGGACAGGATCAGTGTTTGCCGCTATTTTTCTCTCATTTTATCCTCAGATCCGTCCTGGGGCAGGGGTGTCACCCCCGCCACCCTCAGAGGATCTGCAGCTGCCCCTCCCCAGCGCTTGCCTTGCTGGCCACCGGGGCCAAGGGAACTAGTGGCCTCCCTCGGGTCAGCCTCGCCCACCGCGCCAGTGGAAGGAAATCTAGGAGGGGAATTCTTGTCCTGTCCCCCAAACCTCGTCAGGACTGCAGCCGGCACGGCAGTCTGGACATCTGTAAAATGGGGCGCCACAAGGGGAGGCCAGCCCCGGGGCTGAACGGACGCCCAGCGTTGGCTCCCTCACGTTATCAGCAGGCTAGCACGACTAACACGTTACGGCTCGCCAGGCCGCCGGGGCTGCTACTGACCTGGCGCCCTCGCCCAGCTCCCCGCGCGTGTTGTAATTCACTGTCATGACCTTCACGGAGTCCTTGAACACCACGTTCCCCTGGTTAAGGTATTGGAGGGTACGGCGGATGGGGAAGCGGCCCTTCATAGGCATGGCGGTGACAGTGGCGGGGCCGGCCTCACGAGCCGCGAGCCGAGCAGCTACAAGAAATTTATTACCTAGCACCCGGCGCGGACCTCACGCCGCTGGGTTCCACTTCCCGCGCAGACGCACAGGAGACACTTCCCGGCGGGCAGCGCGCGCCGCGGAGCAGTCTGGGACTTGTAGTCCTGTCGGACGGCCTTGGACTACGCGCGGCGAGAGCGGCCGTGTGCATCTTCGCTTTAGGATGCCTTCCCCTTGGAAAGTTTGGATTTTCGCGTCCTATAAATTGGTCATTTCCCCACCCACCCACAGGAAAATATTTTTACATAGGCTAAAAGTCAGACATTAAAATAGGAAACAATCAGGAGGGCTGAGTTTGGATACCAA